AATTTTATTAAACATCACAATGAATTCAGCTCAAAAACATTTAGTGTGAACAGGACTTAAATATAAACATTTACCTTAATAAAACACACGAGTCAGATTAATGTAACGCACTTCCATCTCAGAACACAAAAACACGCCGCTAAGCATTCTGGGAAATAGTTCCCACTCATGTCTTTTTCTTCTTTCAGTTTTTTTTAAGTGCTGACATAAAAACTCTAGTTTATTCAACTAAAATTAATAAACACAACTTACAGCTGTAAGTTTATCTTTCACAAACTCACATTTAGGTTCAAAATCTCAAACTCGTTTAATTTATTTGGCTTAAAGAGCAGAAGACAGCAGACACAACTAGATGCAGCTCAGATGTTTTACAGTGTAACTGCAGGACAAACCAATTTATAATAAAGAAGAAAAGTTGATTTGCCTGCATGATCAACAAAATGTGTGAGAGTCTTTTATTATTACAATCACAACCAGAGAGAGCAAAGTGATTTGTGCCACCTTGAAGATGTAGGTGGCTCCTCCGCCGCCGCCGCCTCCACCTGCACGCTCCGTGCCTGTCTCAGATCTGCGGTTGTCTTCGATGACAGACGACTCTCCCAGACATATTTTCTGTGTAAGTGGATTTCTCTGGCGTAGGAAGATGAGAATCAGACTTAAGGAGAAGGCGTTGTATCTGGGTCAGCCTTTGAACGGACGCATGTCAGCTTTTCCACTCACCCCGGGGCAGGCGTCCTCTCCCTGGTGTCCCACCAAAATGTGAAGTACTTCTCCTTTTTCCAGGGGAAATATGGCGGAGATAAACACCCCGTGGTTTCGTTTGTTGTGGTTTTTGGCTCCTTTTCCGCCTGCAGCGCCATATGCTGAGATACTGAGGGAGATCGCAGCAACACAACGGGATTAAACTCAGAAAGAAACTACACTTTGGCTCAAACCTCAGCGAACAGCTGTGCAGTCGATTTCTGTCACAGATACAAAATAAAAAATATTTTACCCTGAGGATCTTCCTAACCTTTTTACCTACAAATACAGAGCATGGGGATTGTGTAATGTAACCTACAAACCTTTTCTGTTCCCTTACCTCATGCTTCCTCTGATGAAGATAAGTCTTGACTGACAAATTAGATTTAATAGAAAAACAGTTAATTATACTGAGCATGAGCAATAGGATCACAGTCTTTGACCTTTAGGTCATTAATAACAAATATAAATGGTAACGACAGAGTAGAAATCTAACTTTTACTAATATCAGTCTTCCATATTAATGAAGAACAGAAGTTTGTGAACTTTTCGGTGACTAATAGCAGTAAATGTGGGGGTAAAATGTGCAGTACTGTTAGGCCTGACATATATATTCACTTTTTAGTACTACACTTATTTTGTTTAAAAATCTCATGAAAAAATGAAAAGATCACGGGTAAAATGGGTTACAAACTGTAAACGTATTTAATAGGAATTGAGGTGCAGCACTGATTCTTATTAAAGTATTTTTTTCTATTTTTTTTAGACTGGTTGGACCAAAAAAAGTGTATCCATATTCTCTTGAATTTATATTTTAGAGATTGAATTTCAGGATTTCAGAGCATCCACTTGGAGAAAAGTGGAAAATTCTTCACACACTCATATATCTACACAGCATGAAACCAGTGATATTTTTTCTTTGTTTTATCTCTCTAAAAGCACAAAAACATGTTAAGAAATGTTTATTATGTCACGTCTTTCTTTACTGGATCATCTGAAATAAACCCAGAGTAACTCAATCTTTGCCACAAATGAGCTCTTAGCCTTAATTTAGGCTAATTTTGTTATGCACATTATTCTACAAAGGTAAATTATGTTGGACTTCAGATTTAAATAAAGTATGTGACGTGTTTCCAATACTAGGAACCAAGTGTTTTTGTGTCTAATAAAAAGGTAAATGTTTGTGTTTCATTTTCACTCACTGGTATCGATTGGTAGCAGGAACCCTCCACATCTGGACTCCTTTCAGGGGGCCCTCCTTCCCCACAGTGACGCTGACGTTTTTGTTCCTGTAGGTGCTGTCGCACTGGGCTTGGGTCGGGCCGTGGGGGCCGCTGGCACCGCACGAGTTAAACCACCACGTCATCAGAGAGACTTCTGTCCATATGGAGAAGATAAACAGTTGGAATCAGCTGGAATATTAAGGACATGATGTGAAAAAGACAGCGGGAGACTTTGGTAAGGTTTTCAGAGAGAATGCAGTGGCGCCCATAAAGGGGGAGTAGAGGGGGACATGGCCACCACCGGAAAATAAAAATAATAAATATTTATTCTAAACCACCCTGAGTCTAGTCTGGCCAACCCTAAGAAGATTAAATGTTGACCAAATATCTTAAAAATTTAAAGTTGTAAAGATGTAACTTATAAAAAATATAGATTTTTTACTAATTTGTCCAAAATGTCATGACAGTATGGCTTGAGGCAGATAATCTATGAAAATAATTCAGCTTCTTGCCTTCGCTCAGTTATATCTAGAAACAACCAATCAGAGCCAGGAGGCGGCTCTTAGCGTTGTCAATCAGGAGGGAAAGCGGTGCTGCTCATTCCCTCCTTTTCTTTCTCCTACGCTGCAGCTTCTTCCAGACAGCAGAGCCTGACATGAACGCTCAGGCTATATAGCTTGGCCAACAATAACAGCGGATAATTAGTTTTCTTGTAACGATAAGTTGTTTCTCCACCACAGCACATTTAGCAACACATTTATGAGGTTGATTGACAGCGCTAAGACCCTCCTCCTGGATCTGATTGGTTGTTTTTGTTTTGGTGCTTTTAACAGAGGAGGAAGAGATCGACCTGTTCATTTGTCTTGTACTGTTTTAACAAACGTAGAAAACATATCTTTAATAAAAGTTACATAATGCAGCTTTAAGTGGAATTATCTGAAATGTGAGTTCTGTATGCATTATTCAATATTTAAGGTAAAATATTAGACTGTGAATTCTCCAGGTGTTTCCTGTACATACCTGTGACCGACGGCTCAGGAAGCGGACTCAGGAAATCGAAGTCAATTTGCTGCAGCGAGTTGAGATCTGAGGACAGACAGGAACATCCAATTCTGACTGGACAATCGTCCAAAAGAATACGACCTTATTAAAACAAGTGTAGAATAATAAGAAAAGATGAAAAACAGAGATTTTCTGAGCAGGAAAACAACGTGGATGGCTGTTTGATTGTCCTCCAGTCTGCTTTGCATGCTGGCTTAGAAATCTGCCCACTTAGTAGCGGGAATGTTTGTGTGATGGGTTCAGCCAAGCTTTTCCCTCAAACCAATTTTGTGTTTTTAAATTCAATTAGGAAAACGAGGGCTTCAGATAAAAAGCACGGTGTTGTCGAGTACAGAGCAGCAAAAATGTTCAGTTTAGAGTTCCTAAAAGTAGCACTGCTTCAACATATTTTTACCCAAGTAAAAGTAAAAATTCAATTCAAGTACTGAATAAATGATCAAAACAATCATTTAATATTAAAAAAATACATCAGAAAGACCAAAATATAAAGTTAAGGGGATGTGAAACTTATAAAACCTTAACAGAAACTGCAGAAACTTTACTCAGGTGAGAGTAGCGAAACTTCAAAATAAAAGTACTCAAGTAAAAATAAAAAGTACAGTGTAGTAAAAATAGTAATTTTTCCCCTAAAAAGTTACTCAAGTAAATGTAAGTGAGTTAATGTTACTACCAAACTCTGCATGTGCTTACTGAGGAAAATAAAGACTCTTATTTAATCAGTTGTCCCTTTTAAGGTTTTATCTGCATTTCTCTTAAATTATGCCTATGCAACACCAGCTCCTTCACAGCTGAGCATAAAAAGGTTTTGTAAGTGTGGGAATTTAAACCCAGAGTGCAAAAACTCTCAGAGAGAAGAATGCTGGCACTCACTGCTGCCATACTGCGGTGAACGATTCATAACAAATCATTTGAGCGCTGGTGTCACAGCCAATCATGAAAACAAGGCGTCATACAGGAGACCAAACACATCACACTGTCTTTATGAAGCACATTTATCATTTCTGAAAGTTTATGCTTTGACAACGGCGGCGTGTTTACGCCTACCTGTTTCGAAGCAGGCCGCGCCGATGGCGATGTTATCAAACGCGAGGTCAGCGTTGGAGTTTCGTCCCCACGCGGCTTTGACGTGGACGTGGAACCTGAAAGGAACCAGAAATCAGAAAGCAATAGAAGCTCTTACAAAGGAATAACTGTAACATGAGCAATGATAGACCAGAAAACAGAAACAGATGACATTTTGTCAGATCCCTAGTACTTTGTTGTGTTTTATTATGATTGTGTGTGACAGTTCAGAACAGAGAACTGCGGCTGACAACTGGTGGGAAAATGAGATGTTGTCTCTACAAGCTTTGAGGATCTAAAGATTCAAGATTTTCTCTGTTTTTCTTTGCAAAAAAGCTTAAAGGTGACCTTTAATGCTTCCTTGAACAGGTTAGGAGAAGTCTCTGGGCGATAAAAAACATTTTCTTTACATTTTTTAAAAAATTATTCTTAGATAATGACATTTTAGTACTTCAGAGCTGCTTTAGGGCCGCTTGTCACTTTAAATCCAAATAAGCTGCTGCTGGGCACAAGAAAATGGCTGCAAACAGATGCACAATCATACAACCACACATCTTTGAGTAGCACAAGTGGAGCCTCCTGCACAACAAACAAGAATGAAGAAAGTGATTTCTCAATGGTAAGTCAACAACAAAACACTTTTTTCCCAGCAGCCGTTGTACAGCGCATACAGCTGTAAACAAGCTGACCAAACATGTTGGAGCTCTGCTTGGGTTGCTAGGTAACGGTTCTGGGCTCAGCTAAAGTTGCTAGGTAACGGGCAGTGTCCATCGAATGCGACTTAATAATTGGGAGGTTCATGAAATGCCTCACCAAAAAGTAAAAGAAAAAAAAAATTTAAAAACATCTGGTTGGGTGTTTTTAAGCACTTGAACTGTTTTTAGATGCAGTTGAGACCCAAATGAAAGTATAAAAATGTACAAAATGTGAATTTGAAAACAGAACAAAACAAAACTCCAGACAGAATTTCAGTCAACAATCCATCAAAAAAATCAAACATGTCTATTAGATGTGATTTATTTCTATTAGCTTCCTTCATCTTGTTATGATCTTGTGGCGATACAATCGGCTCTCAATGCTGAATAAACATGAATTATTAATACCAGGGTTTCCCTCAGTGTTATATAAGCCTGGCGGGCCACCAGGATTAGCATTGTTAATTTATCTTAGGTTTTATAAAAGTATTGCCTCTTTTTAAGTCTTTATAGTTTGTGTTTAGGTATTAATCTTTCAAATATGCATAACTATTAAGAAATATTTTCAAATTTCCTGTCAACTTTAAACATTTTTAGCTCAAAAACATGGCAGCCGGCTGGAAATCTGTCCTGTCGTACCGAGTATCAGGCTTGGCAGGTTTTCTGGGGGAAAACCTGAATACATGAACATCTCCATCCATTATTACTTCCATAAACAGTGCGCTGTTAACCTGCTGAAAATGTGGGTCATTTCAGACACAAAACACTAAAAAATCATAATTAGATTTTAAATTGAGCATCAAGACCGACGACTTGAACACCTGAATTTAATGATTTGGTGAGTGACCAAATACTTTTTCTACATACCCATGACTGAGGTCAGTCACTTCCAGTGCAACTGCTTTCCAGTCGTCCATCGACTGGCCTTGTGTCTCCCAGATGAGAGGCGTATAGCCGGTCCCGTTTTCCTCAATGGCAACTTGCAACGAGCCGTTAAACAACCCGTACAAGTAGAGAGAGAAACGCATCTGCACAACCACAAGGTGTTTCAGAAATTACTTACAATAACAAAAGAAACAGAAAATAAATGCATGTGACTGGATGACTTTATGGATGTACTGACCTGGCATGCAGAAGTAGAGATCGGCGGAGGGAAGAAGGAGCTGTGAAACGACGCTTCTTTAAGGGGACTGCTCCCTTTAACCTGCAGGTACAAGAAGTGTCCTGCAGACGTACAACAAAATGTCACAATGTGGAATCTTTACCATTTATTCATTTCTTTATTTACATGATTTAAAAGCCGTAGGAAACCAAAGTACTGCACAGTTCAAGCAGAAAATATAAACACTGCAAAAACACAAAATCCTACCAGGTACTTTTTGGTCTAATTTCTAGTGCAAACATCTTAAAACACTTGAAATAAGACAAACTAACTAAAAAGTAGTTTTAAGCAAGATATAGAGGCTTGTTTTAAGGAAATAATTCCTTATTTTTGATGAAAATGTACTTTAGTTCTATTGGCAGATTATTTCACTTACAACTTCCCATGCTATAAATTAATTTATCAGCCAGTGGAACTAGAATTTTTTCATCAATAATAAGGATTATTTACTTAAAAACTAATCTACATCTTATTGAAAAGTTACTTTTAAGTTAGTTTGTCTTATTTCAGGTACATTAAGATATTTGCATTAGAAATTAGACCAAAATTACTTGGTATGATTTTGTGTTTTTACAGTATTGACAATAAACAATCACCAAAGAAAGTAAGAGTCTAGGGCTACCCAGAATGAATTACTTATTTAATTATCACTGTTGTATTAATGTTTCTAAATAGACATGAATCAAATATGAAATTTACAAAAAATAGTTTGACCTCTTTTAATAAACCTGTACCTTCCAGCTTGAGTTAAGCATTAGATAAATCCTTAAAAATAGTTAAAACTTGTCAAAGAAATGTTTTGTATTCTGACAAAAAGAGGAGCGAATGGTGCAGAGGAAACTGGGTCATTTTTGACCGATTTCCTCGGTGCAGTGATTCGTTTTAATAGCAGAGTCCTCCTAAAACCAGGCTGTAAATCACATACGCAGAACACACACACACACACACACACACACACACACACACACACACACCTGGTGTGCGCTGAAGAGTGACGCCCTGCATGTCTTGTTTCTGCAGAAGCTCATCTCCAGCGACTCTCCTCCATCCCGAGTGCTGACTGGACCCGGCCCAACCGCATGAATCCGACTCAAACGAGCAGTACGAGCCAAAGGGAAGAGCGTCTGCCAGGGAAGCAGATTATTATATTTCACCGAGACGCTGAACACAGCTGCAAGAACATCCACAGCACAAGATACAGTTTTACTAAAGCAACTAAATCTCAGTAGGACTTAGTTCGTTTAGGCAAAACTAAACGAAATGCTGCGACTAATTAAACACAAAAACATTTTTATTGGATAATGTTCTTATTTTTACCTGATTTACAATAAACCATGGCATATTTTCTGTAAAAGAGTCATTTATTAATAACTGCAAATCTAAGAATTAAAGGAATCTTGAATGTTTGCCTTACAATGCAGCTCTGGAAAAAACTAAGAGCCCACTGCACTGACCCCCTTGAAAACCTCCTGGTTCTTCCACCGAACACTGATTTCTGAACTCTTCCTGAGTTAAAACATTAGTATTGCTATTTCTAAATGAATATGAACTTGTTTTTTATTGCATTATCTGAGGTCTGAAAGCAATAAATCTTTTTCTGCAAATAAAAACTAAATTTCTGCTTGGAATTTCAGAGGCACGTTGTCAGTAGTTCATAGAATAAAAGAAAAATGTTCATTTTACTCAAACATAAACCTATTAAACGTAAAATCAGAGAAACTGATCATTTTAAGTGGTCTTAGTTTTTTCTAGAGCTGTAGCTGCATTTCCACTGAGGAACCATATAATTCCTCATAATTGCACAATTTAACATTATGAAAATAAATTTGTTTAATGAAAACAGGCCAAAACGTTTTGGGGCTTTGATAATGGTACTGAAAATGGTTTATTTTGTAAAATTGCAATAGAAACACTTTATTCAGATCACGAGTCACATGATCAACAACCGAATGTTGCCACTGGCAAAACCCACGAAGAAGACCACGACAGGAAGTAGTTGGAGGATCATGGTGCGGTTTTTTATGACGTATCGGGTGAACAAACTGATCCCCATTTGAATTTAGTTGCATTTCTAATTTAATGGAAACACCACAATTGTGTCATTTTTTGACATTAGTAGAATATTGACAAACTTTTGTAATGTAAAACGCTCTGAAATCTTTTGTATCAATTTTATTTTTCTGTCAACAAGAACAAAATAGAAATTCGTTTTTTTAAGGAATGAATGCACTCAAGTCTGCTTTGGAGAAAAAGTTGTTGGATATTTGTTGTCTTATTTATAAGCAAAAAACACATTTAGTATTAAATGACAGGGCTGTCAAAAGTACAGCCAAGTGGCCGTTTTCAGCTCCTTGACTGAGTTTTAAGGCTCCTGACAGAAATGAAAGAATCCTACAAATTTTGTGCACCGCTTTTGTTGAGTTAATTAAACTTGGTTAACCACAGCGAGAATTTCTACAGAAAGAGTGACTAAAATCCTGTAATCAGGGCTGAAAATAAACTTAATTTTGTAACAAGGCAGAACAGTTTTTATCAAGCTCAAGGCCTTTTTTAAAGTTTTGGCTCTATGATGAGTTACAAAATCCTTTCCTACAAAAAAGTCTGACTATTTTTGTTTAAATAAAATATCGTAAACGTAGTTTACTGTTGGTAAGGTGAAATATTTACATGTTTTTGGCTTTATTTTCAACTTACAAGTCAAGACAAAAATTAAATATAGGAAACAGTAAGTCCCCACATGTAATAATAAATCTAACAGGCAGCTAAATTAATTAAACAGATATTGGTAAATAATGAAACCTGTGATTACATGCAGATTAGCAACTGCTGCATATTCACCATGTGTTTTTAATTTTCTGTCTTGCATGTTTTTTTCATTATGTGATTTATTATTGTTTGCAGAAAAAGGACACTGCATGGATGAACAATTTGAATGACACAATTACAGACGAGGCTGGCTGCCATTGTTTGTTTGCCAGATGGTGCAGGCTAAAAAAACTTAACAGCAATAAAACAAACATTCAAGCTAAAAACAAACACACACAAATAAAGAACTTAAATTTACATAACAAAGGGGGTACATGACATTGCTTTATTTTTCAGTGTTTTGTAACTTAATCATGTGATTTATGTTTTATTCTTGTTTTTTAGCAGCAACTTGTCGAGAGCTGCAGCTGAATTTAGTAAAATAGACTGAAGCGCTCACCTTAAACAGCATGGTCCCTTTTAAACAAATAAATAATCCTTTCCATTTTATAAAAATGAAATTAAATTTGCCCTGAATCTCATCTGAAAGGGCCTCGTTGCTTGAAATTTCACCTGAAATGAATTCACAGGCATAATCTGTACTTTTCTCAAATTATGGTCACTTGGAATAAAGATTTATGTGAGAAATTTATGGGCATAACTCTGGGAGAGATGAGGAAGTGGAGTGAGAGGGAGTTTCCATCTTAAATGGAGACCAAAGCATTTGCATCAGATCACAACCTAAAGGAGTAATGCTGCTCTTAGAGCACCAGAAACACCAGGGGAGAAATCAAAACAGAGAAGTGAGTCCAGTAATCTTGTAAATATGGGTGGGATTAATTTCAGTAAATTAACTACATAGATTTTAATTTTAGAAATAGTTCATTGCTGTCTTTTCCAAAGCTGGAACCTTTGTTGTGTGTTTCTGGTACGACGGTAAATCTGACGGACAAGCTACATCCGCAAAGCCGTGGATGAAAAAGCCTTTCGTTTGGGGAACTTGGGTTAATTATTGCTTTAAAAACAATTTGAAGGGACTGTTGTTGTGTTCATGTTCTGCTAAAAGGAGTTAGCATATCAGCGAAGCTATTCAAGCCTAAAATAGCATCTCGATGCTAACCATGGTGTAGCAGCGCAAACGTCCTAATGGCAACAGTGTTCACAAACTAATCCACATTTCTATGTAATTTTAAATTAAGTGAAAATGTATTGTCAACATTCAAAAACTGAAAACTTTGCCCCAATCTGACGGTTGAATAACAGAAACTGTTTGTTGTTGCGCTCACATGTCTATTCATTCAATAATTTTGCAGTAAAAAGCTTTTCTGATTCAAATATATGGTGTACAATTAAAATCTGTTTAACTTAAACAGGTTAAAAACAAATATAATTGTTGCTCAGCTTGTGCGTCTATTCAGTAATTTAGCAGTAAAAATGAGTTTTAAATTATAATTGCTTATTTTGTCGAGAAATTGTTTTCAGTTAAGAACTACAAACCCTGCAATTAACTCACTTAAAATTTTTTACTCTAATACTCATGCTCACGCTGTCAATTGTTCTAATTTATTCTCTTCTCAGCTGGACATTTTCTTGAATCTCAGTAAATTATTTTTATGAACAGCACAATGTATTTTTTATGCTGTTAATTTGCCTTTACTGTCTTTTCACAGACTATTTTTATATTTTTACATCTGTGTGAATCCACATGCTTTGGCTTTTCTTTCACTTTGCTGCTGGCACACTTGAATCTTTCCTTGAGGAATAATAAATGTTATTTCTAATCTATTCTTGGTACCTTTTGACCTTTGCAGGTGTGGGTAAAGGTGGGATATTCAACAAGTTTAGGATATAGTAAGGGTTCACCAATTGCAGTTTTCCGGCTGATTACAGATCTTTTAAAAAGCCTGACCTGCCGATTCCAATTTTGGCAAATAGCATTTTTTTTGTCTGAAATGTTGCTCAATATAGCAAGAAATAATAATAAAACATAGCACGTTATTTTTCTGTTGCTTGCTGAAGTCTTGAGAATTTACTTTTCTTACTACGAGGACAAAATATTCTCTTCTGATTTACCTTAAAGTATATATTAAAATGAACAAAACAAACCCTTTACCTCCCATTTCGCCTGGAAAAGGTGGTGTAGAGTCAGTACCGAAAAGCCGGAGTTTATTATAATCACTTACAGGAAGTAAAATAAAAGGATTGCTCAGCACGGTGACCCAGTTCCTTCCCTCTGGGACAAACAGCCCAAGGAGCTCTGAGTGCTTCGGCTTCATTACTGCCTTTTGAGTCGCAGCAGGGTAAAAATGTTTCTTTACACGGCATGATTGATGTTTTCAAATCTAAGAGTCGGTACGTTTCTTAGCAGGAGGTAAAAAGTAGCAATGAATCTTTAGGAAAGTTGTTTTGAAACTCTTCCTTTATTTACTAGGAGTTCAATATCTTAATATTAGGCAATGCTAACTAATCATTATTAGCTTTATTTGCCAAGATTGTAAGATTTGCCACAAACAAGGAATTTAACTTAAGATGACATTTAAAATGAGTATAGAGAAAATTTTACAAAGTATTTTTGGTCTAATTTCTTAGTAGAATTGAAATAAGATAAAGTTAACTTACAAGTAACTTTCAACAAATTGTAGAAGCTTTTTTAAAGTCTTTTTTTTAATTGATGAAAAAGTACTTAAGTGCAGATTATTTCACTTACAAGGGAAAATGTCTTCTTATAAGTAAAATAATCTCCCAAATAGTATTTTTCACCAATATGAAGGAATTATTGACATAAAATGAGCTCCTCTTTTTTGCTGAAAAGTTAATTGCAAGTTAGTTTTCTCTTATTTCTGGTGTACCAAGGTATATGCACTAGAACTAAACATAAAATACTTTTTTATGTTTTTGTCAGAAAGAAGCTGTAAGCAGTATTTCAAGACTTACGATCCGTTTAAATCAGTGGTGTCAATCAATCAATCAATCAATCAATCAATCAATCAATCAATCAATCAATCAATCAATCAATCAATCAATCAATCAATCAATCAAATTTATCTGTATAGCACATTTCAGCAACAAGGTAGTTCAAAGTGCTTTATATCATAAAACAACTAAATTACAAAGTACAAATACAAAATGTAAAGACCTTTTTTTTTTTTACCTACAAAGCATGCTAATTTAACTAAATGAATTAAATATATATTTTTTAAAGCATGAGGTGTGTACATCTGTCATATTAGTGTGCATAGCCAACATTTTAAAATGGAAAATTCAGCCATAAGAACAGAATCACTTTTTGGATTATATTTGGTGTATTTAGTCAGGTTTAATTAATTAAAAGCAGATTTGGGTGGACCAAAGTTTGCTTCTGAGTAAAGTCACTAAATAAATGCGTTACTATTTACTACAAAATTAACGAAAATGGTTATTAAAATATAAATACAAGATTTGAATTTGTTTGCAATAATTTTACACAAATAAAAAACAATATATTTTTTAATTAACACCTTTGCTTGGCAGGCTGAATCTCTGTAGTCTTTGAATTGTAGTTGGCAGCAACTAAAGAATCAGTCCAGGGGCCACATATGGCCCCTCACCCGCAGTTTGGACACCCCTGGTTTAAATGGGAATCTCTGTTTTGTTTGGAAACTCTCAGGATAAGTCGTGTGAAAGCTGCTGAGGCGCAGAGAGTCAGGAAGTGGCGCTCACCGCAGATCAACCCCTCGTCTTCTCCTAGCGGACAGTCGGTGTGGAAGTTACACACTTGGCTCTGATCGATGCAAACGTCCGAGTTCACGCAGTGGAAAGATTTTCCACACATGAGGTTCAGGTCCAGGGCCTCATCACCTGCAGTCACACAACAACTCCATGATTACTCAGCTTTCAAGACGAACAAGGAAACCTGTCAGTAGGTAAATGTGATCTAAAATACAAGCGCTGCAACTCACCACCCAGATTATATTTGACCGCATTTTATTAAACTTTAAGGGGGAGAAGAGCCGATGAGTGTTTGCATATGGAAAAGAGAAGTTAGTCCTTCACACTAGATGAACGGACTTAAAGCTACATCATGCAACTTTTATTAAAAAATGTTTTTTTACATATATTTATAAAGACTGTCACCATGTCGTGGCAGTATGGTTTGAGACAAATAATGCAATGCACCACTCCCAGTCAGAAGCAACCAATCAGAGCCAGGAGGCGGGTCTTAGTGCTGTTAATCACCTTACTGTATGCTGCTCAATGTGCTAACAGTGGAAACACAACTTAAATGCTATTCTAACTAGCATTAGCATTTATGGCTGAAGCAAAGCAGAGAAGAAGGGGAGGGGGGGAGCATGAGGATGATTGGCAATGCTAAGACCCGCCTCCTGGCTCTGATTGGTTGTTTCTGACTGAGTGGTGTATTTCTGCAGTTAGTACTGGGAGAAGACATAATGACAAACATGATGACAATTTTAACAATTATGTTTTATAAAAGTTACATACTGCATCTTTAAATCATGATGAATAATAAAATATTCTTTCTAAATACTTGAGAATAGTTATACAGATTAAGAAATAAAGTCCCTCTGCAGGTGTTTTCGTCTTGCCAGCACAGCAAAAGATTAACAGACTGAACTCTGGAGGTCAGGTAATGCTTTAGTCCTGATCTTAAAATATGCACCGACGCCTTAAAGCAGCGTCTCAAATTCAGACGGAACTCCAGATCTGGTCCCGACAGCGAGGAAATATAATCCCTGGCAACAAGATTTTAGAGCAGTAATGTGAAGCAGATGTTTAAAGAAACTGGGCAGGGAAGATCCTATAGACGGGAAACTTGAAGAATTTGGTAATTTATGGATTTCTTCTTTTAAGTGAGGGTAAGACTCAAGGTAGAGAGAGATTTGGAGATTTTAATTTGATTTTTGAGCATCAGATGATTTGCAAAAACACAAAATCTTACCAAGTAATTTTGGTGTAGATTAGTGTAAATATTTTAGTACACTTGAAAAAAGACAAAACTAACTTACAAGTAACTTTGCAGCAAAACACAGGAGATTTTTAAGTAAATAATTCCTTAAAATTGATGAGAAAGTACTAGTTCCACTTATAACATTGGAAAAATGTCTTGTTATAAGTGGAGCTGGTACTTTCTCAGCAATTTTTAGAAATTATTTAATAGTAAGAAATCCTACATTTTCTCAAAATTTACTTGTAAGTTAATTTTGTCTTATTTCAAGAGTTCTAAGATATTTGCACTAGAAACCAAAAACAGTTGGTGATATTTTGTGTTTTTGCAGTGTAGGGAGTCAAAAAAGCAAAAAGATTTTAAAAAAATTTATGTTGAAGAAGAAATTTCAGAAATCTTGTTTTTAGGGAAACACTGATTTGAAAATTTGAGCCAATAACCAATATTTCCAGCTGTTACACACAGGTCTGTAAAAAAGTAAGAGACCACTTAAAATAATTTGTTTCTCTGATTTCACTTTCTCTAGGTTTATGTTTGAGTAAAATGAACTTTGTTCTTTTATTCTATGAACTACTGACAGCATGTCTCTGAAATTCAAAGCAGAAATGTAGTTTTTATTTGCAGAAAATGAGAAATGGCAAAATAACAAAAAAGACACAGTGCTTTCAGAGCTCAAATAATGCAAAGAAAACAAGTTCATATTCATTTAGAAACAACAATATTAATGTTTTAACTCGGTTAGAGTTCAGAAATCCATATTTGGTGGAAGAACCAGGAGGTTTTCAATGGGTTCAGTGCAGTGGGCTCTTAGTTTTTTTTTCCATATATGTACATTTTCCAGCTTTTAAACAGTGAAAATAAACTTAATTGATGCATAATAATGTATATTTGCTGTTTGAACCATTAAATTAAGCTGCAATAACTGTTTTTAGAGGATGTCGCAAGTATTTGTGCATGACTGAGTTTAAATAAGCAGGAAAGAGAAAACTATAATGAAATTATTAAACATTTTGAACAAGGTTGCATAAAAAACAAACTGAGCTGCAGAATAAACACAAATCACTTGAGCCACAGTTGATGAAATCCAGAGAGTCCAGAGCCACAGTGGCTTCTCCTTCACCCACAGAGGAAGTGTAGAGCAGCGTCACTTGAATCGGTTCATCCATCTGACCAATCACAGCTTCATAAACCTGCCATTCATTCCTGGTCAAAGGAAGCAGAGAAAGAATTTTAGTAATTCATTACTAGAAACTTCTGTAGTTGTAAACATAAAAATATAACTTAGATTTTCATTGTCCTGTTTTCAATCAGTTAGGATTACCAACATTTATTATGTTTACCAAATGACAGAATAATAACATTTCTTAGAGGTTTTCTCAATAGTTTGCTGGAATCTTTAATAAACAGCAAGAAATGGGAAACAGGAAATATGAACAAAACAAAAACCCTGAAACTAACATAAACAGAAAAAAAAGAAATGTTACTCAAAGGAAATAATTTTAAAACTCAAAAAATGATAATTACAAATGGTCTAATACACATGTGTCAAACTCAAGGCCCGCGGGCCACATGTGGCCC